AATTCGCCACCGTGCCGCGAGGCACGAATTGGAGGGCCTCCAGGTCTCAAGTCCTTTGTAGTCCTCAGAGTTCAGTCCTCAGTCTTCAGGATGGAAAATGACGGGACCGGGACCCCAGACTCTCAAATGTTCCGGGATTCCCATCGTGCCTCCCGCGGTTCCACGGCGCTTCCAACACTTCATCGGAGCCACGAGCGCCCCAAAACGGACCAAGAGGGCCACGAGGAGCATCTGACCTACAACCCACGCGCGATGGCGGGATTGGCCGAAGGCCAATAGATCCGCCGCCCACTGTGCTTGCCACAGGGGTGCGTGGTGTGCAGAACTTCAAAACATGCTTTTTGTGTTAAACAAATCCCTTGGGGCTTCGGCACAGCGCGCTGGCCACCCAGAAAGCCGCTGAGCTGCACAAAAAAACGGCTCCCAAACAGCCTAGATAGCCGCTAAGACGGCTAAGATGGCCCAAGATGGCCTCTGGGTTCGCCCAAGGTGGTCCAATCTGGCCTCCAAGACGCTCAGGAGGGTCCAAGATGCCTTCAAATCCGCCCGAGAATCCACCAAGACGGTCCAAGATGACCCTAAGATGCCTCCAAGTCGGCCCAAGGGGCCTCCAAGAGGTCCCCCAGGAAGGCCCGAAGAGTCCAAACTTATAATTTTCTAGCGGTTTTTGATGGATTTCGGCATTCGCTTCTGTCTGGCCTTCCAAAGGCCTAAGACGACCCAAGAGGCCTGCAAGATCGCCCTCAGAGCACCCAAGAGGACTCCAAGATGGCCCCACGACGGCCCAAGAGGCCCCTAAGACGGCCCAGGGGTGGCCCACGACAGCCCAAAAGGGCCTCCATAACGCCCAAGATGGCCTCCAAGATGGCTCCCGAAGTGTCAGACGGCCCAGGAACGTCCTAAGACAGCCAATGAGGCCCCGAACAAGCCCGCAAAGGTCCCTCAGAGGCCGAAGGAGACACCCAAGAGGCCTCCAAGAGGCTCCCATGAGACCCCAAGAGTGCCCCAAGAGGCTCCCAAGAGGTCTCCTCCTCCTCCTCCTCCTCCTCCTCCTCCTCCTCCTCCTCTTCCTCCTACTCACTTTTCCTGTTTTTCCTAATTTTGTTAGTCACGTGCTCCCCGAGGGGGTTCAACGACGGCTGGGGGGACACATAGTCCGATATCTTGGCCAAGCTCTAGCCCAATTTCCGGCCACATAGGCGCTTCCAAACAGACAGGGGGCAACGGTGACTCGCCGTAGGCGTCTTCGATACGATGCCCAACATCACATGCCGCCCAGCACATACAGCGGCCGCTGCTGGGCAGTTTGTTTCTGCCGGGCAACTGCGGGAGAGCCCAGAATGGAACCGTTCAGCCGGATCGGCGATCGAAACGGAACGGATCTGGGATGCACAAAGACATACTAGTACTAGATCTTCTCCTTGGAGGCGCGCGTCCGACCCGAACATATAGTATACCCATCTTGTAGTATATCGTTTCCCGAGCGGTGTGGCCAGAAAACGCCCGCCACGACGCATATACTATAAGATTTCTCGGTGCGCGCGTCGCCCCTGGGGGAGCGACGCACATATAGTAGAAGTATGTTGGGGTGTTGCCGAGGATCGGTGGAAATCGGCAGCCGAGTCTGGAGGGCTCGAATCGGCGGGAACCGGCAGGCCAGAGCAGGGCCTCCCCTGAGGACGTCGGGATCCGGATCGGAACACTCCGAGCCGCATCGCGTCGGCGTCGGAGGCCATCGGCATCGGACCGGCCGTGCAAAAACCCGAGGGGAACGGCCCAACACGGCCATGAAACCCGTTCGCTCCCCGTACGCCCCCCCCCCCCCCCTGGACCCCCCCCCTTACGGCGCTCCGCCCAGCACACGACGTCATCGCTCGTGCCTCGCTCTCTCCGCTATCGGACCGCCTCGAACGGGGGGGGGGGGGTCGAGAGGAGCCCCGCAGCTCGGACCTCGCCCCCACCCCCCGCCTGCCTGCTGGCCGGGGCCAGTGCTGGGCCGCCCCATACCCCTAATCAGATTCGGGTCGGGCATGCCCGCCTGCAGGCTGACAGTTTTGGCGAAACAAAGAACGAGAATGCCCAACAGGTACTCCAAGAATGTGCAAGCATGATCAACACATCGTCCCCAGACTATGTTTGGACTATCTTTGAAACAAATAACGAAGATGCCCAACGAGTACTCCAAGAATGCGCAAGCATGATCAACACATCGTCCCCAGACTATGTTTGGACTATCTTTGAATCTTCCCCCTGTAGAGGGACAGGCCCGACTTAACCCTAGACGGCTCCAGGGCGGGTACCAGTCGCGGCGACACCGAGAGCTGGCCCTGCTCAAGATGGGCAGGATCTGCCGCTGGCCGTCCCCGTCCTTTCCGTATCCAGCTCGTCGTCCCGACCCACCGCGCTGGCGGCACCCCAGGGAGCACTTCGACTCCTCTGGCTCGATTGAATCCGATTTCGATGGCTCCCGATTCCGATTCGAGTCGACTCGGGGTTCCGATCTGGATTCCGATCTGGATCGTTGCGGCAACCGAAGAAAATAGTGTACCCCGGCCGCTCACTGAAATGGAAACGACTTGCGAACAAGTGAGGCACCGCGTTCAAGCAATGAGTCGTTCGAAAAAAACTATATATGACAATGCGGTCGGTCTTTGACCTCTGCCAGTTCCTGCTCACGCATGCCTCAACCTCTTCATTGGAGGCGTTACAGTGCGGGCGCGGCCGAAAGAAACCCTCGCAAGAAACCCGACCCTTCGAACCCGTGCGCGAAGTGCACCTGAGGGGAAACCTGGAGCACCCTGAACGCAGCAGCTCCTTCAACGGCTGCGGGAAGTCACCGCGCAGCGCGAAGAGCGAAGAAACCCAGGATCCTCAGGATACCCTGACGAAAGGCATATGGTTTCTTGATGCGCGCCCCACCCACTGTACTAGCCTGCCGATGTCCGCCTATCTGATTCATTCGATCGCCGATCCGACTTATCGATCCGATTCTGGGTGTGCCTCCCCCCCTCCAGCCAGTCGTGCCGACACGCCGCGCTGGCGGCAACCCCCGCCCCCCCGACGACCAAGGGGACCACCTGGCGAAGGAAAAAAAAGGCTCCTGCCAGGTCGGCGGGCTCGCCGCCGCCCTCTCCGTACCTGGCGCCAGCGCCGCCGCCGCCGCCGAGATCCCCGGATGCCCCGAGCGTCGCCGCGGCAGCGCGGCGGCGCGGGCGCGCCGTGACGGAGGTGAGGTTCGAGGATGGAGGCTCGGGGAGCGAGGTCCCCTGAGATTACAGGAGAGCCCAGAATCGAATCGATAAATCGGATCGGCAATCGACATGAATCGGATCGACGGAAATCGGCAGCCGAATCGGGAAAAGTCGAATCGGCGGAAATCGGCAGGCCAGTATGCCTCCAATAAGAAATCGGAATCCACATCGGAATCCGAAATCGAATCGAATCGGAATCGGAATCCATCGAAATCGAGTCGAATCGAATCGTAAGAATCGAAACGCGCCCTGAGATTATGGCGCTGCAAGTCCTTCACGCCCGGCGAGTTCCGCCCTGCTTCGCGCCTCCGGACCCGCACACATCGCTCCGGCTCGGGCAATGACGCAGAAGGATGGGGTCTGGGGCTCCGGTCGTGACTCTCGCGATGTTGCGATTTTTGTTCGCAGCGTCGGCGTGGGCGCGCCATGGCTGCGGCGAGGTTCGAGGATGGAGGTTCGGGGAACGAGGGTTGGTTGGCCAGTTGGTTGGATCGTCCTCCCTCCCTGGCGCAGCCCTGGCCCAAGACTGCTCATCCTTTCTCTGCCCCGGTCCTCGGGCTCAGGCCGTCCTTCCGCACAGGTCCCCCAGGCCACCGGAGCCCCTTGCTTTGTTGGCTGATGGGCTGGTCAGTTTGTTCGTCCTCCCTCCCTGGCTCGGCCCTGGGCACCGAGGTCGTGCAGAGAACCGGACATACGACGATGACGACGATGACGACGATGACGACGACGACGACGACGACCACGAAGACGACGACGACGAGGCCGTCGCAGCAGGGGCGACGAAGGCACGGACGCTGCGCTCCCCCCTGGCGGCCGCCCCTGGCGCGCTCCGCGCGCCGGGGAGGGGGGTCCAGCGCCGATCCAAGGAATCAGCGCGGGCCTCCGAGTTGTTATGCTTTTGTCATCCAATTCTCTCTCTCTATCGTTGTCTGTCTTTCCGAGCTCTTCTGTGATGGTCGAGTCCTCGTCTTGAATCCGCAGCGCCGGTGGAGGTGCTCGCATGGCGTCGCCACGCCCACATCGGCACATCCCTCGCGCAATTCACTCCCGCTTTTGGAGAGGGCAGAATGGCCACCTTCATCATAGGCACCCATGCAGGTGAAGCCCTTGAGGAAGCGTTCAGAAGGAACCGAACAGAACAGAATTGCTTAGTAAACGCCCAGAACTACTAATGCCTATTATTGGGGTCGTGCTGTGTCCTTCCTGGTGAGTTTCGTCTATCTGTTGACTGCTTCACTTCTCAATTTTGTTGCCTCTGGGAGGTTTCGCGTTGCCACAACAGAGTTCCCCTCGAAATTCTGTTCAAGGCGCATCCCCCCTGAGGATTCGTGGGGCCAGCTTGTTGACGCGATGGGAATGGGAGGACGGGGAGGGGGACGAAGACCAAGATGATAGCGAGGAGGAGGAGGAGACGGAGGATGCCATATATTTGAGTTTTGAATGGCATCAAGCACACTGCAACAATCCAACGGTGGATGTTGACAGCCTCCCCGCGGTCGGACCAAGAAGCCACACGATGAGTGGGCTGGCAACGATTCTGGTGAGCCGTTCGTGCGCAGTCGAGGCAATACTCGGAGCAATGGCGAGCTCTGACGTGGCCCGTTGAGTCTACCGAGAAGCGGCATCGAAGTGGGAGAAGTGCACCGCCTCGCCTAGGTGGTGGGATCATCATCACCACCATCAGCATATCCACAGTCACCATCATCATAACCATCAACAACAACATCATCATCATCATCATCATCATCATCATCAGCAGCATCATCATCACCATCACAATCACCATCACCATCACCATCACCACCATCATCATCATCATCATCACCATCATCACCATCATCATCATCATCATCATCATCATCACCGTTGCCATTTCCAAGTTTCTGGTTCAAGTCGCCCCATATAGTGGTCGCAATCCACAGACGTCGACCTTCGCACTTGCAAGGGGCTTCACTTTGTCGAATCCATCGCAACACGGATGGGTAGCATATGACAAGCCTTGCCACAATCAACTCAGAGGTGTCAACTCTACGATGTAGGAACACGATTGTGCGCAGAGACCCAGTTCAGAATCACAGATCTACTGCCACAGTATCAATGAAGCCTCCCCCCACCCCGATGACACGCACAGACACACACAATATTGCAGATGACGAACGAATGCGTGACAACACTTGCTCAGCGGCCAAGGTGGCTTGCTTCTTGACCCGACCAGGCAACAACGGTTGATGAAGAGAACAAATGCATGACGGCAGCTCCTCACAATGAAAAATGCTCCGCAAACGACAATCGATCGTCCTACCTGCTACCTCTAGCTCCGTGTCGCCGCTCACCGCACACTCCAGCCATCGGAGGCCCAGGAAAGCAGGCAAGGGCCTCCGAATGGAGAGGGGCGATTTGGATCTCGGGTGCACAATACAGGATCACCCACTGCAACTTCGGCTACACGCAAGAGTTACCCTGGCTAAGGGTGACCTTGGGTGCGCGGCTTTTCGGGGGCCGCGGGGGGGACCAAACACAAGCGCGCAAGACGCTACTACCGCATCGCGTTCGGCGATCGGGGGGCCGCATCGGGTCCGCACCAAAGGTCAGTCCGGCGAAAGGTCATTCTTGCGTCTAGTCGACAACAACCCTGCGCGGCCCAGCGCACAACTGCAGGAGGAAGTCCTCCATGCTCTCCACCGCGGCGCCGACCTGTGCTATGGAGGCGCCCGTGCGTGCGGAGGCTGCGCCTGAGGCCTTGGCCGTCGGCGTGCTGCTCCTTTGGTGGGATGGGGGCGTTCTGTTGCAACTCACGTGAGCCTCCCATCCCATCATGTTGGCTCGTGCGAATCGCCGCTGATCGACGCTCAATCGACGCTGAGACGACGCGAATCGACGCTAGTCGATGCTCATCGGCGCTCAATCAACGCTACATCGACGCTCATCGGCGCTAGTCGACGCTAAATCGACGTTATCTCACCGATTACCAGACGCTAATCGACGGTATATTGGGCTCTCATGGTTTGCCACCGCAAGGGGCGGGGAGTGCATCGCGAGCGAAAGGCACGAGGTCCATAGCAGCGGCGATCTACGGCCGCTTCAAGACACCGTGAATCAAATGAAAAAATGACACCTCTTGGGGGCCACAGCTTATAGCTGCTTAGCTACGTCCGCCGAGCTTCCGCCAGCTGACCTGCCGCCGCCTCACTTCCGCCCACTTCCACTCGCCTTCCGACGGTTTCCGCCGAGGAAAAGGTACCCCTTCCTTCAGTCCTTCGATGGAGAGTCCCCTCCTGAAGCGCCCAATAGACTTGGTCGCACAGCTTGGCTCTTCTATCTGCGCCGAGCGCCACCACCTCCGCGCTCTCGTGCCGCCCGCCTGGAGGAAAAGCACACGCCCAGCCCAGGCTGCGAAGCACGAGGCGCGATGGTCTCCGTACCCCCGCAACTGGTCTTGCGTGGAGGGTTTCTCCGAAGGGCTTAAGCGACCCGTCCTCCTCCTCCTCCTCCTCCTCCTCCTCCTCCTCCTCCTCCTCCTCCTCCTCCTCCTCCTCCTTCATTCCGTCTCCTTATAAATAACAATTTGGTCGCCCCCCCCCCCCCCCCTCCAAGATCATACCGTTTCGTCTCCTCATCCTCGATTGCTTCTGTTACTTTCTCTCTCCCTCTCTCTCTCTCTCCTTTCTCTGTCTCTGGTCTCTGTCGGGACTCTGACCGTTGAGAACCGCTGTGCTTTCAAGGTTTTCCAGATTTCCCAAGTTTTCCCACACACTGACCATTGAGAAACGCTGCGTTTTCCAGGTTTTCCAGGTTTTCCAAGTTTTCCCCGAAACAAGCCGTTGAGGAAAGCTGTGTTGTCCATGTTTTCCCGGTTTTCAAAATTTTCCAAGACACTGACCGTTGAGAAAAGCTGTGTTTTCAATGTTTTCCAGGTTTTCCGTGTTTTCCCAGACACTGACTGTTGAGAAAAGCTGTGTTGTTCATGTTTTCCAAATCTTCCAGGTTTTCCCAGACACTGACCGTGGAGAAACGCTCACTCAGTTGGAAGTCTCTGGGAAGATCTGGAATACCTGGAAAATCTGAGAAAAAAAAAAAAACACAATGTTATTCACCTGGGTAGGCTCTGTGGAAATCTGGAATATCTGGAAAATCTGCAAAACGTAATGTTTATCACCTGGGTAGTCCCTGGGAAGATCTGGAATACATGGAAAATCTGGAAACACACACTGTTTTTCACCTGGGTGGTTTCTGGGGAGATCTGGAATATCTGGAGAACACATGGTTGTTCAACGGTCAGTGCCTGGGAAGACCTGGAAAACTTGGAAACACACCAGCCGCGCGACCCCTTATTTGTTCATCGGGAGACGTCGTGCGCGCGCAAGTCAGGTGACCCCAACGAGGCAGCATTGGCCGCTTGCTGCCCCGCCCGTTGCAGAATGGCACCCCTCACAACGGCCTCCAGCCGCCATCGCAAACGCCGTTTATACATCACACCCCTCAGAGCGCCAGCCATCGCAAGCGCCCTCACGCAGGCGCGCCAGCGCCCGAACTCGCTGCCGCGGCGCCCGTCACCCCGTTGTCCTCTAGCATCTGCGAGAGGTCCTCCTCGATGTCCGTGCGCTTCTTCTTCGGCGTCGGCGTGTCCAAATGAATGACGCCGCAATCCATGGACTTCTGGAGGCGCTGGCGGAACACCCCTGGCTCCCTCTTGATCGCCGCCGCAGGCGAGGGGGGCGCGGCCGCGACGGCCGCGGGGGGGGGGGGGCCGCCGTCGCCATCCATCCCGCCGCCGAAGCCGAAGACGTATTCCTCGTCCTCTGCTGCGGCGGCGCCTCTCATCTCGCCGCCGGGACCAGAGTCGGCGTCGTCGTCATCTGGGTTGCCTGGGATGGCAGGCGCAGGGGGCGCGGCCGCGCTGGCGGCGGCGGATGCGTCGGCGCCGACGTTCCTTTCACCGTCCATTGCAACGAACTCATACCTCGGGGGCGCGTCCTGGTCGAAGAGCGCGGGGCCGCGAACCGTCCTCGAGCGCCCGATGTCCTCGCCGCGAGCAAGCTTCTTCATGGCGGCCACGGCCCACTTCATGTGCACGCCGTAGTCGGGCGGCGCGGAGGTCTGGTCTTTCTTGAACCGCTTCAGGATAGGGGTGGTCTCGGGCGTGAAGGTCTGGCTTCTCGGGCACTGGCCACGGGGAGCGGGGGGCTGGATCCTTAGTCGTAGACGCCAGCCACAGGCACATCCAGTCGCCAGTGAGGAGCACGATGTTGGACCACGCCATGTACGCCTCCACGTCCGCCATCTGGTAGCCGCACTGCTTCTCGCCAGCGAAGTTGCGATCTATGATTTTGAGGAAGCCGTCGAATTTGATCGCTTGTTGGCCTCTGCGGATGGAACGCACCTTCTTCTCGAACTCCTGGTCGTAGGGGTTGACGCAGATCTGGCGGGACTGGTTCTGCTCGAAGGAGGCGCCGCCCCACCTATGCAGCGCGCGGAGACGACGCACACCAAAACCGACATGTAAAACATGGCTTGTCGCCGCGTGGGTGTTTGATTGTTTATACTTTCCGACGGCGTGCGTCATCCGTGCCCTGCGGCCTCGCCCACAGCAGCGCGTCCTCCTCGGCGGGGTCCAGGAAGGCCTTGATCTCATCGGAGGCCTACTTCGTGAGGGCGGCGTCGTCCGCGATAGCGGGCTTGCACGCAGTTCCAGGCTCGAGCCGCAAGGAGTCGATTTTCTTCGTCGTGGCGACGCTCGGACGGAGGTCGGTGCGGTTATTCTTATCAACCTGGTAGGCGGAGATTGCGAAGCCGATGGTTTTCGGCGCCGCGCACTTGCCGACCCTGGTCTTGCCGATCCACATGGCCCCGTGCACGTCGTGGCTCTTGAGAATGGGGACGACGATGTTGTCGAACACGAACGGGTGGGAGCGCTTGAGCGTGATCGCCCAGCGCTCGAGTGTCCTCGCGCCAACAGGGCCCGACGCGTAGTTGCGGAGCGACTCCGACTTCCGATGCCTGCCAGCCAAAGATCGGCGACTTCTCGTCGTTGACCTGTTCGTCGGTCCACTCCACGAACTGGTTGCGGTTGTTTGCCCTCGGGCCGGACCCCTCCATGAAACGATAGCCCGCCCTTCGCTTCTCCATGTCGTAACCGCCACCGCCGACGGCGGCGGCCACGGGCGGCTGAACCCAATGGCGGACATGCACCCCGCCCAGCCTGTCCATCATAAGAGCTTGATTGGCGTCTTAGTGTTGGCCGAACTCCCCCAGTGGATGGTGAGTGCCCTGCCTGCAACGAAGATATCCATGGCAATATCGGCCCGAACCTTGTTGTCGAACCTGACGTACTTCAGCGCGCACTGCTCGCCGTTCGCGTCCTCCGGCAAGATGCACAGCTGCACGGTGAAGGCGATCTCGCCAGGATCCTTGTTGGGCGTAAACAGGGCTGGCAACGCCATGTAGTTGCCCCCGCACCTGGCGTCATACACGTCGACTGTGTCCAATTGCTCCGCGGCGCCATCCTCCAACGTCACCCAATCCACTAAATGCTTCACGTTCACGACGTTGTCCGTGTGCTGGAGCGGCATGTCGCGGAGGACGAAAGCAGCGGGAGGGTCTGATTGGAAACGCTCGGGCTTGCCGAGCGTCTTGTAGGACTGCACCGCCGCCGCGTGCAGCCACGTGTTTTTGCTTTGATCAGTTGCGGAGGCGTCGCCGCCGACGATCTCTCCCATTGACTTGATGCCGCCAGCCGTCAGGCTCGCCATGGCAGACAGCGGGTGCAAACGGAAGCTTGAAGTGACAGATTGGCAGCTGGGGACAGCAAGCGCGAACTACTGAACCGTGCGATTGAGCCCAAACAGCTACGAACAGAGGGATGTCGGCAAGGACGTTGCCGTTGCTGCGAGGTGGCAAGACTGGCGACGGCACTGGTGAATACAACTGTTTCTTCGCTAGTATTGACGTCATGGAACAAGTCGAAAGCTATATGCGTAACTGCGCACATTTCGCTCGGGCAATCTCGCCATGCTGGCCCAGCATACCGCGGCGCAGAAAGCATCCCAGAGTTAAGCCCCACCCTCAGTGAAAGCAATGGCACTCCCACCCTCAGTGCACGCCGCTCATCTCCTCGTAGATCATGTCGCCCGCCCCTTCAAGAACTGCCAGGCCCTGTCCACGATCTGCGTGCCGCCCTTCACAAGGATGGAGCCGCCCTCAGGCAGTTTGTGACGCACCAGCTTGGTGAACGTGGGCTTGAGCCACACCCGCTTGCCGCAGATGCTCTTGCGCTTCCGCGCGTGCACGACCCAGTCATGTAGGACCCCATCCGCCCAAATCTTGTAGCTCCCGGCGCCGTCGGAGTGGAAGATCACCTTCTGGTGCTGCAGGCGGCTGAGCAAGAACGGCTTCCAATCTGACTTGGTGATTGCCCCAGGGCCTGGCGCCTGCGGGGCGGTCGTGTCGTTGTTGGTGCGCCACAGTACCAAGCTCTGTGGGCGCCCGCGCTCAACGCAGCCAGCCCACTGCTCCCATGCCTTCGTTTTCTTGTCAACTGATAGCGCCGCGCGGAGAACCGTCTCGTCCGCTTCCACGTCCACCCACTCCTTGTCGCCCCCGAACACGATCTCCTTCTCCTTCTTCTCGACGAACCGCTGGCGGGCTGCGTGCAGGTACTTGGACATGCGTTCGATAGCCTTGTGATTGACGTTGAGCAGGAGGTGGATCTGCGCGGTGGTCATCCCGATCAACAGGCAGAACAACATCTTGACCGTGTTCATCAGCGACATCTTGGTCTGTCCATTGCCGTCGCTGAACACGGGGTGCCCGTTGCACGCGCCCACCTGCTTCCCGCGCCGCCGACCGCTGTTGCATCGCCACTTCACCGCCCCGTCCACCTGGACACGCCGATTGCCGAGCTTGCCCTGCCTGCATTGCCGACAGATGCGGCCCGACCAATCAATCAAGATGTTGTCCTCGATCAGCATCGACACCATGTCCTCCTCAGACTTCCCCTCGAAGCTGGCGAGGGAGCGACGCCATTGCTCACGTTTTTTTTTTTTTTTTTTTTTTTTTTTTTTTTTTTTTTTTTTTTTTTTTTTTTTTTTTTTTTTTTTTTTTTTTTTTTTTTTTTTTTTTTTTTCGGGTCTTCGTGGGCAGCGTGCCGCTGCGGGTATATTTCACGGAGGCCTTCATGCTGTTCTTCTTCTTCTGCTTCATGGCACTCTGGTCACGGCCCGTGATGCCCTCGACGCGATTAGGCACTGGGAAAGGGCGGAACGCTTTGTCTGAGCGTTTCAACATCGTTTTCTTGGTTGGGATGGTGGCCCCAGCGGGCCGCTTCATCGCGCTAGCGGGCCGCTCAATCGCGGCAAAGACCACGGCGGACCCCGCTGCTCGAGGGAAGTTTGGGCCAGGGCGGCTACGAGGAGGAGGATGAGGAGGAGGAGGAGGAGAAGGAGAAGGAGGAGGAGGAGGAGGAGGAGGAGGATCTTATGTCTAATTGGAACTGTGCTGGACTGCTCCACATGTGGCTTTGGTTCTAGTTATTGTTCTGGCTCTGGTTCTGGCTCTGGTTCAAGTTCTGGCTCTGGTTCTGGCTCTGGTTCTGGCTTTGGTTGTGGTTGTGGTTGTGGTTCTGGTTCTGGTTCTGGCTCTGGTTCTGGCCCTGATGCTGATTCTGGCTCTGGTTCTTGTTCTGTCTCTGGTTCAGCTTCTGGTTATGGGTCTGTTTCTGGCTCTGGTTCAGGCTCTGGTTCCGGCGGTAAACCACGCGCAGACGAACGGCAGTGTTTTCGGGCGCGGAGGTGGGAACCTTGGCCTGGGAGCCTGTTTTCAGGTTCCCTCTCCAGCACATCAAACGGGCAAGGAAGCCTTTTCAGGTTTCCCCTCCCGCCACTGGCCAAGGAGCCTTTTCAGGTTCCCTCTCCAGCACAACTGACGGGCCAGGAAGCCTTTTTCAGGTTTCCTCTCCCGCCACTGGCCAGGGAGCCTTTTCAGGTTCCCTTTCCGGCAAATCAAACGGGAAGGGAAACCTTTTCAGGTTTCCCCTCCCGCCACTGGCCAGGGAGCCTTTTCAGGTTCCCTTTCCAGCACATCAAACGGGCAATGAAGCCTTTTCAGGTTTCCCCTCCCGCCACTGGCCAGGGAGCCTTTTTCAGGTTCCCTCTCCAGCACAACTGACGGGCCAGGAAACCTTTTCAGGTTTCCCCTCCCGCCACTGGCCAAGGAGCCTTTTCAGGTTCCATCTCCAGCATAACAAACGGGCCAAGAAACCTTTTCAGGTTTCCCGTCCCGCCACTGGCCAGGGAGCCTTTCCGTGTCGGCCACATCGTCGAAGGAGCACATCGTCGAAGGGACATCCATAAATGGATGCCCCCTTCTGCCGCATCAAGGCACGATGGAAGGAGACCCTGCAACCGATGCGCGCACATAATGAAGATAAGCGTGGTAAAGATGAATAGGAGGGAGATGATGATGAATGCGGTTCAAGACGAAATGTATGATCTTGGAGGGGGGGGGCAACCAACAATTTCTCCGTGTCGCACCTCGGGGCCAGATTTTAAGGCGAGCTGGGCGTTTCGCCTGAGACTTGCTCACCATTTATGGTCCTGAAGCTTAAACATTGGCAACAGTTTCGCAGATGGAGGGCGGGCCGTCGCTCTCGCATGCGCAACGCGCACATTCGTTTTCAAAACATGCAAGAGCTTCACGGATTGAGGGCGGGTGGTTTTCAAAATGTGGCTCCCGCCGTAGCGCCGCGCACATTCGTCTTCAAACTTTGCAAGAGTTTCACGGATTGACGGCGGGTGGTTTGCAAGATGTAGCTCTCGCCTTGGCTCCGCGCACTATCGTATGAACATTGAAGAGTTTCGCGGATTGGAGGCGGGTCATTTCCAAAATGTGGCTCTCGCTTTAGCGCCGCGCACATTCGTCTTAAATTTTGCAAGAAGAGCTTCACGGATTGAGGGCGGGTGGTTTGCAAAATGTGGCTCCCGCCGTAGCGCCGCGCACATTCTTGTAGAGAAATGCAAGAGTTTTACATATTCCCATGGTCGACGCACCAGAAACGGTGTGTAGGAAGGATTCACGATTTTGAGTGCGCAACAGTTACGACGATTCGCGGAGTTGAGGTCCCAGGAATGGCGTGCTGTCGCGATGCAGGATCGTCAAGATGCAACAGTCAGGTTCATCAGTGGAGTTGGAATACCGAGAATAATGTTTTGGCATGGTTCACGGTCTTCAAACGGTTGTCTTCCAACGAGGCAGGTCCCTCTGTGGAAATGAACCGTTGTAGGGGCCTATGAAGAGGAAGCTTGGGGGGAGGGTTTACTCCAACATCGTTGGTGACTCTTGGGCTCACGCTGGTCCTCCTACTCCTTATCCTCCTCCTTATCCTCCTCCTCCTCCTCCTCCTCCTCCTCCTCCTCCTCCTCCTCCTCCTCCTCCTCCCCTCCTTCCTCATTCCTTCTTCCATCTCCTCCACATCCTCCTCCCCCTCCCTCTCCTCCACGTCCTCCTCCTCCTCCTCCTCCTCCTCCTCCTCGGGTCGCCTGCGGCCCCGGGGGCAACCGCGCAATCTTGCGGCGATGATGCGTGTCCCGAAACAGTGCCCAGAGCCAGTACGGCCGGCTCGTGGCCGCCCGTCGCCGCCACTGGCACCGGGCCCCCGGTACCGGACCGGCCAGCCAGCTCAAGCCCGTCGCCGCCGTCCGTCGCCGTCGCTCGCACTGGTCCACTCGTACAGCACAGCGTAGCACTGCACACCACAGCACAGCACAGCTGTCCGCAGCATAGCATCGCGCAGCTTCGCTTCGCATAGCTCAGCTTGGCACAGGAGGGCACAGCATAGCATCTCATACAAAAACATGACGCAGTCGATGTGATACTGTACGAGATTGCACCGAACCGGAGAATGCGCCTCATTGTTTGGCACTGCTTGGGTTGCACTTCGTAGATTGTGCTGCGTAGGCTGCGCTAGATCACATTGTTTTGGGGCCCACGCTGGCTGATATTCTGCTTCGAGCAATGCCCGCCCGAGAACGCGAGCTGAAATCCCGGGAAACAGCGGGCCTCTTGGGGCTTGGAAGCTGCGGCATGCAGCCGTCATTCGTCAAAAACGCGAGGCGGGATATCAGAGAAGCACCGGGATCCTTGGAGCGTGGCGGACACGGTTTGCAGGGTGTGCTAACAATCCTAACCTGTCGGGCCAGGAATGAGAGAGCTCACTGGGTAAAGGTCGGCCTCCTGAAGAGCGCCTCAGATCGCTCATAGTCGCGCGGGGGCCTAGGGGGGTCCTCCGTACTGGGGCACCCCTGCAGGGAGTGTACATCTATCTCTCCCTATCTCTCCCTGTCTCTCCCTTCTCTGTCTCTCTTGCCGACGGCGACGGGCGGCGACTGGCGTGGGACGCATGCACAGAGGCATACTAATACTATATTTCCTCCTTGGAGGCGCGCGTCCGACCCGAACATTCCCCAGCCAGTGCTTGCACTGAAGGGGTCCTAGCGGAAGTTGAAGGATTTGGCGAAACTTTCCCGCCGATGTTGGCAGTAGGCTGGGTTCCCGGGTTCCCGGTTCGGGGTTCCCGGGTTCCCGATTATTGGTTCCGGGCCGATTTCGGTGGGTTCTGGGTTCTCGGGCTCCTGATTCGTTTTTTCTCTGGTGTAATATAAGATACCCATCTTGTAGTAGATCGTTTCCCGGGCGGTGTGGCCAGAAAGCGTCCGCGACGACGCGTATACACTATAAGATTTCTCGGTGCGCGCGT